ATCTCAGAGCTGAGACCATTCTCGAATTGTGCTTGGCAAGCTTTTCAGCTCCAAGTGCATCTTCGTTGTTACCCTGCCTATTGGGGCCAGCTATAGCTGACTTGCTGGAAGACCCTATATCAAGGCTAGATTGTCTTTCCAGGGTAATGTCCAACTCAGAGAGAAGCAAAATCACTTAATATTTGGCAGTTTAGTCCATTTAAGAGGAAAAGTGACCTGCAAGTGAACCCATAGCCAGCATGGCACACTATTCCTCCTGCTGGGACCAGATGGCATCCCAACCCTGCTTATCTCAGCTTCTTGTTCTAGTTGAAGAACTCTGCCTTCAGCAGAATCCTTCAGAGCCCAAGTAAACAACAACAACAACAACAAACAACACACACACACCACAATACACAGCAAATTAGGCCACAGGCATGCAAGATTAATCTCCCCTCCCCATGAGAGCAGTCCTTAAAGAGGAAAAGGAGAGACAGTCACAGATACTCATGAGCACTAGCAAGAGGAGTGTACATCTACTTTTAAGATAAAAGGAAGCTTCAGGGAGAAGACAGAATTAAAGAAAAAGAAGTCTGTTTCAGATAAAGATTGGAGGCAAGTAATAGGAGTAAGCTGAGTATGCTGTAGAAGAGTTCTGGAGTAGACAGTGGAATGCCCAGGAGCTGTGTGTGGATGAAGCATACCCAAAGTTGAGAACAGGCAGAAAAATGAGGGCTGAGGATATAGGGTCTAATTCAGTGGAGAAAGAAGAGAAAGCCAATACCTTAAGACTCTACCAGCATTTCCAGTTAGAGACATTGACATTCCAATGGCTACTCTAGAGACTGGAGATACAGTGAGAAACAAACAAAAATGACTGTCTTGCAGTGCTGGTCTGAAGGTTGCTAAATACTAAAAAGGTAGGTCAAACAGGGTAGTGTGACAGCACTCCATGGAGGGACTAGAGATTCTTTTCATAGTTGATTGACAAAGGATCCTGCAGAGCACTAACAAAAGAAAAAACCAGTCTTGGCAAGATCTAGAAAAGAGAGGCTATGGAAGCAGAAAAAAGCTTGGTGTGTGTGAAGAATCAAAAGAAGACTGGAAGCCTGCAGTGGAGAACTGGGTTTTAAAAAAAATAGTCAGTAGGGTCAGAGACCCTGGTAGGGCCGTCCATATCTTTTAGGATGATGAAACTGGAGGCAAGAGTTCAGATTTATCTTAAGAATAGTGGAAACCTACTGGGAGCGATAGGATATGGTTTTCATGTGGATAGTAGAAGGAAAAGGACAAGGTCAGAAGCCAGTGCATCCCTTTAAGATGTGACTGAAGCAGATTTGAGTGTCCAACAGAGACTTGGCAGGACAAGAGTAGAAGTTGGAGAGCTCCTGGGAAAGAGACTGTTCCAACAGTCATGTGAGGCCCTGAAGGTGCCTCATAACCATTGAAGCAGGACCTGGTGTGGTGGTGAGGGGGGTGGGGAGATGACAAAGAACCCACCCCGTTTTCTTGATGTCAGTGCGCCCTCTGGTGGCTGGGTTCTTTGTCTGTGCCCTGAGGACTTCTTTGTTCCTGGACTAAACAATGGGGGAGATCCCTCTACCTTGGCCTCCCTCCAAGGAAGGATGTGACAAGTAGTCTACCTTTCAGCCTCAGGCTAAGGAACAGATAGATTAATGCTGCTGAGACTGGAGTCCAGATTGGGCCTGGATGGGGGAAGCTGTCTGTAAGAAAAGCAGGGGTAAATAAGGGTCAGACAGAAAGGGGAGAAGTAGGAGGCAGTAGGGACTTTTGTTTTCAATAGAAAGTCACCGATACAAAAGAAAATTGATGGTCATGTACAAATGTGGTAAATTATCTTTGGTGGATATTTTCAGAGCAAAACAAAACCATTCCAATTTAAACATTTGTAAATTAAGAGCAGAGAACATCAGGTTGTACTGAATAAACACAGCACATAATGGAAAATGTACTTCAGTTCTTAAACTACAGCCAGTTATAGGAGAGAGGCGGGGGTGGCGGCCATCAACAGGCAGCAGAGAGTCACGATCTTGCTGAGAGAACAGAGGAGTGGGGGTGGATAGGGCTTGGTCAGAAATAGACACTGTCTGACTAGGCTGACGTCCAAAGGCTCACCGGATGTCTGCTCCGTGTCCAAACAGACGCACAAACACAAATATCAAATCTCTCCTCTCTCTCTCTCTCTCTCTCTCTCTCTCTCTCTCTCTCCACACACACACACACACCACCCCCAGCTTTATGTCACATACACACATAGCACACCACACACACACACACACACACACACACACACACACACAACATACCACACACCACACACACACACCACACCACGTTATGAGAACAGACATTTGATGCACAGTAAAAGATTGAATGAAAGGATATCTGGGGAAAGAGAATCTGCGCCTTAAGTCTGTGTCTTAAACGCAGTGAAGCAGTAGGGTGGGCTGCTTTGTCAAAGCAAGCAGCTGTGAGGCTTGATTGAAGGTGAACAAGACTCCATAAAGAAAATATCACTTTCTTCTGGATAGGAAGGCAAGCATTTTCAATACAGTCATACACCTGTTTCTGGCACCAGTACTCGTTTAAGGTTACAAGAATAACATCTGTAGGTTCCAGTGCTTAGTAAAAAAGGCATTTTAGTACAGCCTTAGCAACGAGTATCGTGGCAAGCAGCTGTCTAGGTCTCCAGGGACTCCTCCTCCTGTTGGCTGGATCTCTCTTAAGCTGAAGAGTTTAGAGTCTTTTTTTCAGCATAATAGCAAAAATAGAAAAGCCAAGTGCACACAAAGTAGTGACCCATCACCAGTGCCATCTCCTTACTGCCACTACCATGGGCCCAGGACATGAATCTGTGTGATGTCCCCGATTCCTCCAGGTGAGACTTCCTCTAGCTAAGGATTCCTACTGTGGGCCAAGGAATGAGTCAAATAACTACATTAAATTTAAAATAAGCACAGTTAAAAGAATTAAAATTAATATCTTGAAAGGCAAAGTCAAGGAAGTGAAAAGACAACCTAGGGGACAGGAAGCATATTTGCAAATGTAAATAGCACTTACAATTTTATGACTGAAAAGTGACCAAGGAATTTGAAAAGATATATTTCCAATGAAGACATCCAAATAGCCAAGAAACGTGTGAAAAATGGCACAGATTCATAACTCATAAGAGAAAGGCAAGTAAAATCAACATAAAGAACTGTCTGATGCTCAGTAGAAAGGCTCCTACCCAAAAATGTAAAATTAATGTTGGTGAGGATGTAGAAAAATTAGAAAACTGAACAAGTGTATCCACTAGTAAAAATAAAAGAAACCATATAACTCAACAATTCCACTTCAAGATTTGTGTGTCTCCTAAAGAACTAAAAACAGAATCTCAGAGATATTTGCATATCCATATTCACAGAAGTATTTTAATAGCCAAATCATTGATAAAAATTGATTGCTCATCAATAGCTGAATGAACAAGTAATATGTGCCATATCTGTACAGTGGACTATTATTTGGCCTTTAAAAAGGAAAGGAAATATGATATGTGATGTAACATGAATGTATTTTAATGATACTGTGTAAAGTATGCTGACACAGAACAAATACTACAGGATCCCATTTCTCTGAGGTTCCTATAGCAGTCACCTTTGTAGAAAATTGAATGAGTGTTGTAATAAACTGGGTGGGGTGGAATGGGAAGTTGTTTAATGGATACTGAGTTTCTCAATATAAAAAAAGTTGATGATTGGTTTTACACAATAGTTAAGATGGCAAATTTTACATGTATTTTCCCATGGTGAGCAGATAACTGAATGAATGAGGGAAATAATGAGGTGATAGCATATCTGAACATGAACGTGGCCTTTTAGTCACTTGTGTACCTTCTTTCCCACATCCATTCACTTACACATTCCCTTACTCTCTAGGTGGGTAAATATTAAATACCTTCTCTGTGGAAGGCATGTCACCAAAACTGCAGCCAAAAGAGTGAGTATATTGCCTTGACCTTCCCTTCCAGGAGCCCACAGTCTGGAAGTGAAGGCAGATCTCTCAAAACTGACCCAGGAAAGAGTGTGCTCAGAGATGTGTGGAAGCCTAGAGAAGGTGAGACTGCCTAATTGGGGAGAGGGTGTGGCAAGAGGATCTGCTCCAAGGTTCTGGTTCCTGGCTGAGTCCTAAAGGACCGGTAAGGCTCAGGTGGGCCGAAGAATAGGTCCAAACGTATGCCAGGAGAAAAACTCTTGGGAGAGGGGAAATGTGAGGAAAGAAAATAGAGTTGAGCAATAACCACAAGTAGCTGAAAGGAATTTATTAACTTCTAAGTGCCTCTAATTCACAGTATCTCAGCCAGTACTATAGCCTTCCCAAACTCTTCAGACCTTGTGTGCATAGAGGAGTGGTGCCCAAAGCTGCCAGCCACCGCTTTCTCACAAAAACATTGTCTGATAAGGAGGTATGACCCTGAGCAAGCACACTGAAAAACCACCCTACCACTCCCCTCACAGCCCTTGCATACCTTGGGAAACAGTGTACAGGGGCCCAGTATCGGCAGCCACATATTAAATTCATACACATGCATGAAAAAGGCTGTGTAAAGCACATATTAGAAAAGTATGGGGCAGAATGCCGTAGGGAGTGACCAGATATCAAGAAGCCAAAAGAGGGAATGTGCACACTGTTCTTCATTGTGGTGCACACTGTTCTTCAGAGAAGAACACTGTCCAGATTTCTGGTCCCAGAAAATCCCCCTGAAGGACAATTCAGCTGTTCTCTTGTTCCTTTTCAGACTTGGGCAATAATAAGCACTTGGAAATCCAAACCATATAACCTACAATGTTCACAAGCTTGACTGTTAGCTGGACTTGGAGGGGAACTCCAAGACATGTAGCCCAAACCTTAAGCTTTGCAGAGAGCTCAGAGGGACATGAGGACAGATGCATGAAAATGTGGAGTTCTATATAGCACTTTTAACTCCTGGGGTCAAAGCAAGTCTGAATAGGCACCTATGGCTATTCAGCAGCAGCTGGCTCAGGGGTGTTTATTCCATCTGATAGGTAATCATCCTCGTGGCTCTGTTTCATCTTGGTCTCCAGCACTGTGATGCGTTGCTTGAGCTTCTGCTGAGCTCCAGTGTACTCAGCCAGCAGGCGGGCAAAGCGAGTATACAAGGTCTCCATGTTTGTCTCCAGCTGCTCCAGCTTCTCCTGAACATTTACCTCCATGCTGGCTGCCACTTCATTCTCATCCAGCAGACCTTCCTTCATCAGAATCTCCCGACCCCGCTCCTCCAGGACTTTCTTGGCATCAGGGTACTCAGTCACAGCTTCCATAAGATCATCCTTGGACAAGCAGAAAAGATCTGAGTAGCCCAAACTACGGATATTGGCAGTGCGCCGATTGCCCATTTTGCTGCCCTTAATATTAAGGATGCTAATCTCTCCAAAGCAGCTCCCAGCTGAGAGCAAGGCATACTGAGTCACACCATCATCAGCTACTACTGCCAACTTGCCCTCCTTGATGATGTACATTTCCTTGCCAATGTCCCCCTTACGGCAAATATAATCTCCAGGGCTAAAGACCTGAGGACGAAGCTTCAGTACCAGTTCCACCAGCAGGCCAGCCTCACAATCCTGAAATATACGTACTTTCTTCAGGGTGGACAAGTGGACATTAATGGCTATCTCAGCCCTGAGCTTTGCTGGCAGGTTCTTGAGGACTTCTCGTTCATCTACTGTCTTCTTATTGGTCCACAAGTAGTCAAACCATTTAATGACCTTGGCTTCCATTTCTTTGCTGACCTTTCGGAACTGCATGTAGTGCTTGACAGCATCAATCTTGGCCTGGAACTCTGCTCGTGTGGCATTCATGTTGGAGATCATGGAGCCTACATTTCCCACAATAGTGGCAAAGATGAGGACACCAATCAGGAAGTCAAAGATGACAAAGAGGTACTCCTCATCCTTTACAGGGGGTGGTGTCTCTCCAATGGTGGTGAGGGTCAGTGTGGACCAGTAAAGGCAATAAATGTACTCCCTAGCCAAGTAGCCATACTCAGGGTCAGTAATGTTGGGGTAAACCCAGGTGTCAACTCCAAAGCCGATGGATTTGGAGATGGCATAGTAAATGCAAGCATTCCAATGGATGATGACCAGGATGTAGAGGACCAGATTGCTGATTCGGAAGATGTTGGGGTAGCTGGTGCGTGTCTCAGTGCGGTCAAAAAACTCAAACATACGGGCAAAGTGTAACAGACGGTTGAAGCGCACCTCAGGGCTGTGGATGCCCACAGCAAAATAGATGAGGTCAGTGGGGATGATGGAAGCCACATCCAGTTTGAACTGCAAGGTGTGGATATAGTTGTCTCGCAATTTCTTGGGGTCTTTGACCAAGAGCCCTTGTTCTAGGAAACCTGATAGAGATACAAAGAAACATGTCACTTCCTTCATCAGTCCAGTCTCTCCCTAGAAGACAATTCTCAACAAAGAACAAACAGCTACTTAGCCTTCCTTCCCACAGAGGACTATAGACCACATAGCAAGACTGGCCAGAAGAACCCTAAGAAACCACTGTCAGATCTAAACCACCATAAGTATGTGAGAGAATAAGATTTAAAGAGTATCCTATCAGAGGTTCACCCAGGAAATGGACTTCAACATCATGTCCAGTCAGTTTCTTTAAACTTTGTGTTCAGTTCTTTCAATTTAGGAGTCCAAATGTTGCTGGTGCAGCCAGGTGTTTACTCACCTGTTCGCAGTCGAATGAAGAGGTCTGCAATGTAGACAGTATCTGAGAAGTAGTCCAGCACCAGCCATACCACAAAATAGTTTCTCTGTAGATCACTGAAGCAGGCTCTGTGGGAGGACAGGGCTGCCTTCACGAACAAAGCCTGGTAAGATTCCCTAGTGGCCCTTAGCTCTATACCTACTTTTACAGGAAGAGCTTCACGTGGCCACCAGGGACACCAGTGAGTCACAGTTGGCTTAGTGGCAATGACTAGTGATTTCTAACTCAGCCCTTTTTACTAAACAGACACCACTGCATATGCATCACCATTGACCATCATTATTCTTCTTCATCTCCTAGACTGAGTTTCAGAAACAGAACACATCTTAGTCATGACTATATGCCACATCCCTGGGCCAGGGCCCCAGACTGCATGTCATTGGTAGCCTAAATTGAATAAATTAATAAGGCATTAGAAGAACAGCTGACTGGCTTCTGTATCCATTACTTCAATAGATTCCTATTGAACACATCATTGAACCCTGGAAGGATGAGAATATAGATGTAGTGGGGGTTAAACTAGGGGTGGTGAGACTCAAGAAATATTAGTGACTATAGGAGCATTGTAAGAAGAATTGGCAAGATTTGGACAATGAGTGGGTAGAACCTAGGGAAGAGCCTAGGGAGGGGACAGAGGAAGGGAAAGTTATGTACTAGTCCAATGACAGAATGGTCACATTTAGAACCAAACTCCCACACAATGTGCAGAACAAACTGGACCTTCAGCCTTACTGGGCCATCAAGAGATAGGGGCTTTGTTCATGTTATCATTTCTGTTCAGAAGGCCCTCTCTGCCAACCTCACATATTTGAACAGATTACTGCCTCCCATCAAGATCTTAACTAAGGTTAGGCCCATTATGATGGTAATTTCTCTAGCAACTTTCTACCTCCAGTCCTTGGTCCTATGTTGCTCATTTCGTTTGTAGTGCATTTATATTAAGTCTAACTGAGAACACTAAAGAAACAAAACAGTGATTTTGTCTGTCCTGCTTTCCACTGTACACCCAACACAGAGCACAAAATCCAATAAGTATGCAGGTAATTCTTCTTGAGTGAATGATTGATACGGGGTTGTGTTATGTGGATTGCTGTCAGAAAAAGAGAGGACCAAGTTCAGTGGACCTTGAAGGTCAACCTTAGAGTTTTATCATGAGAACAATGGGGGAACACTAAACAGTTTTGGAAGAAAGAGTAATATAAGCAAATTCCAGCTTCTACATGGAATATTAGTTGCACGTGTGGCAGATGTACTGGAGGGGTTAAGTGTACCTCCAAGGCATAGAGGCAGGACTACCATAGACTTACCAAGGACAGTACTGATGTGCATGAAAAAGCTACTGGAGATTACAGGAAAGGCACAGGAAAAGGACCAACATGAAGACTTGATAGCACATTGAATACTGGGAGCATTAGGATAACAGATTAGATAAAAGAGAATCCAGCAATCAGAGAATTCAGAAAGAACATTGGACTGTGGCATACTCTTTGTCCAGAGTTGAGACTGCTGTGACCTTAATCCCATTTCCTGGGGACTGTGCTTCTGTAATCAATCTCACCCAGGTCCCTCCAAGCTCACCTGGCCACCAACAGGCACCAGTTGTAAAGAACAGGCATGGCAATGACAAACAACCAGCGGTAATACCAGTCTCCAGCTGGGTCCAAGACAAACAGTTCAAATTTCTTCCTGAAGAGACAAATAGGGGTCACTAGGGTGCTAGGACTTCAGGTTTCAGAACCCAAGATTCTCAAAAATATCAATGGATTATAAGGATTGTGGGTTGAGGAGTAGGTTGTCTTACAGTTTCCCTTTGCAGTGACCCACAGCAGGCTTCCATTCTGATAAACATCAGACCTCTGATCCATTCTGACCACTGAAAGGTTCATTGCCTTCCCTAAAAGGGCCTTGCCCAGAAGATGTATCAAGGACAGAACTTGTAGTAGATAGGCTTTGAGGGGGTCTGAGGAGGGTGTATCTCAGGAAGGTAAAAGAGCTTTAAGCCTGTCCTCACAGTCCCTTTGGGAAAAGAGAGAAACTCCAGGCGAATGATCTGTATATGCTTCCTCCCCATACTTCCTTTCAGTTCTCTAGACTTCAGCCTCCTAATCACTTTCCCAGATGCTTCATCCTAACTTAACAAAAGCCTTTTCCCTCCACTGAGCAGAGATGGAGGATGTCAACTTGGCCAGACACCCACTGTCATTGAACACCATTTATTCATTGAACATCAGACCCTTCAATTATTCTATTTTCCCTCTCCCTCCCCCCTCTTCTGCTCAATTATCTGGGTGTCATGTCCCTGACTCCCACATAAGCCCCTTCAAAAACCTGCTTTCTTGGCCATGGTGGACCTGGAATGGGCATGGCCTCAGTGGTACTCTGTTGACTACTGCCTCCCTGCCTGATCCTCACATATTGACTGCTGGAGCTAGGGTTGAGGTGGCATATCCTTGGTTGAGCTTCTCTTCTGCGGAAATTCAGTCCATGGGCAGCAAGAGAATTTCTAGCAAGGGTACCACTATGGTATAAAAAAATATACTTCAGTTTCCCATGGAAAGGAGATCAGTGCTGTTTGAGAGGCCATGGTTTAGGACAATGGAAATGTTCAGAGTAAAAAGAAACAGGTCATCTCTGCTCAACTCTTTATCTGTTATCATAGAGTTTGGCACAGCCCTGCAACACCCCTGATAATGGTTAGAATTCCCACTGAGAGCTCCCATGACAGGTGTGGGAGCTTTTGGAGCCCCCAGAGACTGGACAGATGTAATTGGAGCCCTTTCCATCTCCATCCTTGTCGCCTTTGCCATCTCCCTGATGTGTTGTCACAGCCTGGAGCTCAGGCCCACGGAAACGCTCTAGGAATGAATCAGGCCTTGGTTCCTCCTCACGGAAATTCTTGTTGGCCCAGTCTCTGATG